GCCCCAGGTACGGGCCGGGGAGGGCCGGACCTTCCCAAGACCTCTCCTGCACGGGCAGCTCTTCCTTCTCTCTCCAGGGATCAAATCCAGGCCCCGTCATTCCTCTTGGAAGACCGGCTGCAGCGTTGTTTCTCTCCCTGACACCCTTCTCCCCCAGAGGCGTGGGCCGGGTTTGTTTACCGAGGAGCTGCGAAAAACTTCCCTCTCTGCCGCCGTACGAGGAGGAGCAGCTCGAGGTCGTAGCCTGGCGCGGAGGAAACTACCTCCAGGCCTGAATTCGCCGCTCTTGGGCTCGCTCTGCCTTGTTTGTGCCCGAGAAGTGAGACTGGGGCCGCTCTGCAGCCCAGCACCGCCACCTCCCGCGGCGTCCCCAGGCAAACGTGCCCTCCCCGCCTTGCTCCTTCGTGCACGGTGTTGTCTGATCCTTGGGATTCAGGACACTGCTCCAAGGCAGTTCCCCAACAGAGCGAGACAGGTTGCCGATGCGGGATTTCAGATCTCTGGTTCTCCTAAAGCAGATTCTTGTATCAGCTCAACCTTGAACTTCCTACTCCTGGATTTTCAGCGCACTGAATTTTTTTCAGAGTAGGGTGGTCTGGTCACACAGGCCGTGGGCTTCTCTTGATTTGCTTTGTGTTTTTCCCCAGGTTTGTCGGTGAAGGCAGCAATGGAAATGGGGACAAACAGCACTGAGAAGTTTTATAGGATCCCCAGAGGAAAGGGACCACACTCGGTTGGATGTACAGACCTGATGACAGAAAATGCAGTTGAGGTAAAGCTCTTGGTTCTTCCTCCATTGGATTTAAGCCATGATGTTAGTGAAACAACTTGCTGTAGTTTCACAGATGAATCGAACAGAAGGTCTTGGCTGTGTGCAAGGGTGCTGCATGGCTGACACAGCTCAGCTTTATATCCTCTCTGTCCCAGTGTAGGATGTGTGCTGGGCATTTATCAGATGAATGTAACCTCCAAGCCTTCGCCATGGCTGCTTCCACCCTCCTCCTAATATCCTTGCCTTTCTGGCTCCCCTAACACAAGATGCTGCAGGGAAGCTGTGTCCCACTGGGACCCACGGTGCTCTTCCCATCCACCCCACCGCTCCCTTCTGCACTGGGCTCCTGGGGAGGCTCCGCACACGGTCTCCGTGACTGTAGCTGTTCTTATCACAAAGATCCCAGGCGGGATTTGGCAGGGTTGGGTGATGAGGATATGCAGTGTTTCAGATGCAGGGTAAAGCATGAGATGTCTTCTTGAAATTTTATCTATCTGCAAAGGAACAGGATGTCAGTTCTGCAAGGGGTTAGTACAGAGAGAAGCAATGATAAGAAGATGAGAACAGTAAATAGACAGCTAATGAGCTCGCTTACAGGTTTCCATTTCAAATCCTCTGGCTTTTTAATTTTCCTATGAGAATACACCTGCATTTACACTGTGGTTTTACTCCTCAGACTAGCCAGGCATAGTGGAACTCATGATCAGTTTGCAATGGTTATTCATATGTTTTCCTTTACTGAGCTTACTGTGTATTAGCACAAAGAAGAGGTTAGTTTCTTTGCAATCAGCCCATGTGGTTTTTTTAGATAAGCAATCTGTATATTTACAGTTCTCTTAAGCATAGATAATGAACCTCTTTCCCTTTCTGGTAAGAAGTTAGTCACCTGGGGAGGTTCACTGGGACTATGCAGGGATCAAATTAATATCATTACCAATATGCATGAAGATTTGATGATTTCTTCCTTGGTAGCCTTTGTGTCAAAGATTGATTGAAGTTTGATGAGTAAATAGAAGTAAGTTTAATTAAACAAGCTTTTGGTACACATTGTGTGTGAAACTTATAAATTAGTGTTCAAGAAACCAGACTTAATTCCAAAGCTCATATTCTTTTTGGCCCTAGACTTAACTTGTTAAAACAAAAGTACAGGTGGAACAAGACAGTGAATTTGAATAGTGGGTCATAAATTCTGTTGCAGACCAGGAAGTAAGAATGCAAACTACATACCATTCATCTGCTGCGAGGGCTGCTTTAAGGTGTACCTTTGGTATATTGCTGCTGTCTGTGTAGGAAAAACTCCAGCAAGGGGGTATGGAGGGTCCATGTGAACGTGGAAAGCTTGGGTAGTTTCCTAAAGACCTGGAGTGCAGACAGTAAAAGAAAATTCAAACTGGTGGCAAGAAACAGAAGCAGATAAAACACAGGTTAACAAAATTGTGTTTCGAAAGATGGACCACTACAGGCTTGGAAACATCTTGATGAGGAGGAAGAACAATATATTGCACTCCTTCGCTGTGCAGCTGCCCGAGAGCTTTTCTGACAGCCTTTTGCTCACTTCAGCCAGGAACACAATAGCCACAATGAGACCATGCACCTGACTCTGCCCACATCTCCTCTGCGGGACCACACTTCCAGAAACTAGTCTTGGGGTAAAATTTGTCTTGTTAACCTAGTGGGAAAATATACATCCAGGAGAGTCCTTTTTTTTCCCCCCAGTTTAGCAGACTGAATTGGCTCAGTAACAGCTCTGTGAGACTCACTGGTGCAAGGAAAGCAATGACAGCTCCCAGCTGGAAGGGTGAAGGGGACATGGTCACCCCTGTTAAACTGATCAGACTGCATCATCATACCATTCTCAGAAAGGAGGCATAGTGAGGAGAACATAAGAAAAGATACAGCAAGGTGCAGAAATTGAGCAAATAGGTCGTGAGTGTTTAGAATTATCAACAGTTAAATGGAGCATTTTGAATTAGCTATAGGCTGACCTAGAGAAGGTGACATGTATCTCTTGATGCCAACAGTCATGCTACTTTAAATTCATTGCAGGGACAAAAAGATAGTGACAAAGGATTTGGCATCAAAGCCTGGATAGGATAATAATTTTTTCATGAAATTCTCTTAATTCTCTTGAGCTGTCATGCTTGCATCTGAAGTCATTGACATAAATGTTTTTATCTTCCTTTTAATCTGTCATATATAAATAATTATCAATCTTCCTTTTTTTTTTTTTTTTTTTTTTTTTTTCCTCCTAATCCCAGGGAAGCTTCTTGCGCCTTTATTATCCATCATGTGACACCACAAATAATGAAGAGGCACCATGGATTCCAGATAAAGAGTACTATCAGGGACTCTCTGACTTCCTAAATATGTACCGAGTCGTAGGAGAAAGGCTTTTCCAGTACTATGTTGGTAAGACTGGTTTTGGTTTTATTCCTCGACTAGTACAAGGGCGTGAGCATTGTGTGCAGGTCATTGCCTCGCTGCTCCGTGCACACTGTGTTTTTCCAAAAGAAGTATGTTTGTTTGGGATGGGTTTGTGTAGGGATGCTCAATGCTGAATGTGACCCAGTTCTCAGGCAGACCTGCTGTCCCTGCCTGCTATGAATAGGAGTGTCAGGGCAGTTTGCTCTAGGAAGTCATTGGGTAAGCTGCGCTTGTGTGTGTGGATTTAAATTCCACAGGGAAATGTGCAAATATACAAAGGTCAGATAGATATTAAGGTCTGAATACAAGACTTGGATGCCTGACTGTTCTTGAAAATCTGTTCCCGTAGGGTTTAAGAGGCATGTAGGCCTTGTACTAGGCTGTGGGTGGGAGGAGAAGGAATGTATCTTCTGCCAAGTAGACAGTATTTTCAGAATGATCCATATTTGTCTTCTGTATTTTAAGGATGAGGTTTGGTACCTTATCGTCAGATGACAACTCTGAAATCAGTGGTCACCAGATTTTTGGGATCTCTCCCACAGGAGCAAATGCTTTATCTCATTTCAATAATAATGACATATGCTTCAATTTTTGTCTAGGTTCAGTGACCTGTCCTGCAAAGTCAAATGCTGCTTTTAAGACAGGAGAAAAATACCCACTCCTCGTTTTTTCACATGGACTTGGAGCTTTTCGGTAATTCTTCAGTTTGTTGCCAAACTATTTTTGGTGTCTGCGGAGGCAGCAGTCTCCAAGGGTGATTCTGAGCAGATTTTCAGTAGGGGAGTGAGATCCCCATTGAGCTGAAATAGATTTGAAGAACAGGCTGCTGTGTATCAGTTTGTCTTCACTGAAATAAAGAGCAGTAAATAAAAGCAGGGTTGGTGTGTTTGTTTGTGTTTTCCCATTGTATTTTAGGGGTGAAGGTATTTACCAATCCCTAAGCATGTTGTGATGATTAGTCAGCTGATTTTTGGACAGCTCTTTGAAGATGCAAAGTGTCATAGATGCTACTTTTAAAAAAATCATTAGCATTCTTCCTTCTGAATAGATAGTAAACCAGTAACTGGGGTTTCTGAACAGGCTTT